CTGGTGCGGGGGCCTTTCGGGGACGTCCAGGGCCAGGTGTGGGACGGCGGGCCCCAGGAAGGCGGCGAGGCGCGGCGCCAGCGTCGGGTGGGCGAGGAGGACGACCCTGAAGCCGTCGGGTCGCTGGCGGCAGACGTCGCACAGCAGGCCCAGCAGGACGTCGGTGGGAACGGTCCGCTCCTGCAGCTCGTCCAGAACCACCAGGTGGTACTGCCGCAGCAACGGGTCCGACATCATTTCCTCCAGCAGCAGCGTGTCGCTGACGAACCTGCAGAGGAGAGACGAGAGAGGGCGAGGATTAACCTGACAGGATTCAAACCAACAACCTAAAGGACCATTGAAGGAGGCATTGTGTGTTACCAAAACTAAAAATAAACTGATTCCTTGACAGACTTGGTATGAATCCGTTCACATTGGAAACATTTTCTCTGATTGGTGCGGATCGTTGTTAAGCTGGATGTTACTCTCTGATCGGCCTCCTTCCGGCCTCCTCACCTGAGCAGGGTGTCAGGTGTGCAGCTGTCGTCATGTGACACGCGGTATCCGACCTCCAGGCCCAGACTCAGGTCCATCTCGTCGGCCACGCGCAGCGCCAGGCTCAGCGCCGCCTCAGGGTGCGGCTGGGAGCAGCAGACCAGGCCGTGGGAAAACTCAAAGGACAGGGAGAACTCCACGCACCACTGGGCCACCTGCAGAGAGGGGCGCCGCTGAGCACAGACAGCAACAGCAAAGCTTCCTGCTCCTGGTCAGACCTGAACAAAAACTTTCTCATCCAGAACCAAACAAACATCAGATCCTGGAGATCAGAGTCAATATTTGAACAGGGATCAAGCAGCGGGCGAGGTCACCATGGCAACAGACAGCAGCTCCTGACCTCAGTGACCTCAGTGACCTCAGAGTGAGGGTAGCCTGAGCAGCCTGGGGTCAAAGGTGAAGCTGCACCAGGAAGCTGAAGGGGAGCAGGACGTCTGAGGCTGGAAGGAGCTTCAGGTTACAGCAGGGAGTGAATTCAAGCTGCCGACCAATGGCCTGCAGGGAGAGGCGCTACCATGGCAACCAGGTGGTCCCAGCAGACAGGTGAAACCTCTGCTGGTCTGAAAGCTACAACATGTTCAGTTTGAAATACAGGGAACTGATTGGCTTCTCTAACCTGCTGGTTCTTTCACTTTGTCAAAAACTGTTTGGTTATAATTATTCATTTTGATATTTCTGAGAGCCGTCCAATCAGGACCCAGTATTTCAACTGAAACCTCCTAATCCAGCAACCAGCAGTGGGAACGCCAGCTAACGGTTAGCTGCAACAACAATAAGCATTAACATTAGCTATGCTAATGCTACATGCTAAAAAGGTATTTATACAAACTAACTCTGTATCAACATACATCAGGGGAAGAGTGCTAAATATCTGTAAAGTCACCAAAAAGCACTAAACTAAAAATGATCTCCACTATTAGCGGATCAGCAGCAGTTTGCCCTCTAGTGGCAGGAACGTGTTATGGCAGAAAAACAAATGTGCGGCCATCCAGTTTATGAAACTATAGATGCTGAATCCATCTCCCTGATGATCCGGGTCCAGATCCTGATTGGTTCATATCACTCATGTATCGTACATGGATCAGTCGCCTACAGAGCTAATGTGGCTAGCTTTCCCTGCTAACCTGCAGCGTTTCCTTACCTGTGTGCTCTTCCCGGCTCCACTGGGTGCGCTCAGCAGCACCATGCTGTGGCTCTCCAGATGCTCCAGGAAGCTCTGGCGCAGCCGCCACACCGGCAGCCGCCGCCGCTCCTCCAGCAGGGCGTAGTAACGCGAGGAGAAGGGCAGGCCGTCGTACGGGTTGACCTCCAGGTCACCCAGGCCTTCCTCCTCACCGTCATCGTCGTCCAGATCCCCGGACAGCAGGGACGAGACGGACAGCGAGTCCAGAGCCGAGGGGGCGGAGCCACGGGGCTGAGACGGAGGCGATGACATCATCGGTTCATGGGGGGAGGAGCCTACCTGTAGAGGAGACGAACCGTAATCATGGCAACAGATTCATCAATACTTTTCTCATCAGGAACCATCCGGGTCAGAACCTCCAGAACCAATCAGAGGTGACGTCTAGTGAGAATGACTCTGAGCTCTGATTGGTCAGAAACCAGGAAGTTAGAGCTGGTGGTTCCAGGGTTAATTTAAAATTAAAGCTGATTTTATTTTAACTTTATAACAGTAAAACATTCCTGGTCCAATCAGCGTCTTTCTGGTCCGATCAGCGTCTTTCTGGTCCAATCAGCATCTTTCTGGTCCGATCAGCGTCTTTCTGGTCCGATCAGCGTCTTTCTGGTCCGATCAGCGTCTTTCTGGTCCAATCAGCATCTTTCTGGTCCGATCAGCATCTTTCTGGTCCAATCAGCATCTTTCTGTGTGGAAATGTTTACGCTGCACTAAAACCAAACGGAAAATATTTTATATTGTTGTTATTAACAGCAGCAGGAAGCTGATCCCCCTGCTCTCCTGTAGGGGCGCCATGGAGCACAACTTTATCTCTGAAGGTTTCCAGTCGGGCCAAAGTTCAGTCTGCAGCTCGCCTCAGAACCAGAACCAGGACCAGGACCAGAACCAGGACCAGAACCAGAACCAGGACCAGAACCAGAACCAGGACCAGGACCAGAACCAGGACCAGGACCAGAACCAGGACCAGGACCAGAACCAGGACCAGAACCAGAACCAGAACCAGGACCAGGACCAGAACCAGAACCAGGACCAGGACCAGAACCAGGACCAGGACCAGAACCAGAACCAGGACCAGGACCAGGACCAGAACCAGAACCAGGACCAGGACCAGGACCAGAACCAGAACCAGAACCAGGACCAGAACCAGGACCAGGACCAGAACCAGGACCAGGACCAGAACCAGAACCAGGACCAGAACCAGGACCAGAACCAGGACCAGGACCAGGACCAGAACCAGAACCAGAACCAGGACCAGAACCAGGACCAGGACCAGAACCAGGACCAGGACCAGAACCAGAACCAGGACCAGAACCAGGACCAGAACCAGGACCAGGACCAGAACCAGGACCAGAACCAGGACCAGGACCAGAACCAGAACCAGGACCAGAACCAGGACCAGAACCAGGACCAGGACCAGAACCAGGACCAGGACCAGAACCAGGACCAGAACCAGAACCAGAACCAGGACCAGGACCAGAACCAGAACCAGGACCAGGACCAGAACCAGGACCAGGACCAGAACCAGAACCAGGACCAGGACCAGGACCAGAACCAGAACCAGAACCAGGACCAGAACCAGGACCAGGACCAGAACCAGGACCAGGACCAGAACCAGAACCAGGACCAGAACCAGGACCAGAACCAGGACCAGGACCAGAACCAGGACCAGAACCAGGACCAGGACCAGAACCAGAACCAGGACCAGAACCAGGACCAGAACCAGGACCAGGACCAGAACCAGAACCAGGACCAGGACCAGAACCAGAACCAGAACCAGAACCAGGACCAGGACCAGGACCAGGACCAGGACCAGGACCAGAACCAGAACCACAACCAGAACCGTCCTGACTCGCTAACAGATCAACATCCAGGCAGCAGAAACACCAACATGTCCTGAATGACATCATCAGCTATTATCAGCTTTGCTGATCCTCCTCTTTTGCTTTTGCTCCTCTTTAAACCTCTGCCTGAGTGAGACTGTTTGGGGTCAGAGTTCAATTATTTAAGGGTTTCAGATGCTAATCAGCTGTAGAAATGATACCTTGTTGCCACAGTTACGCATCATTACTGTCTGAAAGTAAAACAGCAGAAACCAGAGGCTGAAAGGAGGACAGGTCTGGTCATAATGTTTTGCCTGGTTTAGAGAATGTGGATCAGTGTGACGTGGATGCTCCAGGAGGTCAAAGGTCACCTGATCTGAGCGAACAAAGGGCGGAGCCACATCACACCACCAGACCTTCAGCTCCAGGTGACCAATCTCCATAAATGAGAAGCTGAAATGTCCCTGCGGTCTTTGAACGCAACAGCATTTAGAGGCTTTTAGCCATAAACGGTTAATATTCAGCCAGAAGCGGCGAGTCAGCTGACGGGTCCAGTTAACCAGGAAGAACCAGAATCTACCAGAATAACCTACAAACCCAGCAGAAGCACCTGGTCAGCCTGTCCGCCCGCCCTACCTGCCCTGAGTCTCACCGGGGAGGCAGGTGAGGAAACCCGGGAGACGCTCCACCTTCAGCCCGCTGCTGCTGGGTGTCAGTCCGCTCCCCGCATACCGAGCACCAGCTGGAAAAGAACCGCGACAGGAGGCAGAAAGGGCGGGCATCCGCTCCCCGAGCGTCCCTGAGGATCCTGGCCGCTGCCGCTGCTTCACTGACGGCTCCCAGCGACAACAACAGGCGGAGGAAGGAGGAGCCGGCTGCTTCAGCGACCAGCCGCCATCTTGGCTCTGCACTGTCAGAGCCAAGATGCCTTCAGGTGTCCTCGGACACCGCAGTGACGTCACTAAATCATTTCACAATTAATTCAGTAACATAAATAAATGTTTACTCAACAACAAATATTTAACTTTTATTTTGAATAAATTATTATTAAAATGTTCTATTTTTCAGAGAGAATCAAGTCGGTCAGCTTTTCTGTCACAATGATAGTAAAAGTTTGCCTCTGACATTAAAATGTGTTGTTTGTGGATTGTAAAGTAAAAAAGACAAAAACTTTTTTACTTTACTTGTGGAAATGTTTTTCACAGCTGTGAGCTGACAGGGCCGTGCACACAGTTTGGGGTCAGGTGCTCCAGGGAGACAAAGGGAACCGGGTGCAGAACATGGAACCGACAGCTGCCTCAGGAATGTGAGATTTATTTCAAATCAATCGCCATTCGCTCCCTGATGCAGGCGTTTGATAATATTCACCTGGACATAAACATCAGATTAATTTAGGATGTTTAGGTTTGAGCGTCTCCAGTTTGCTCTTCATGCCGAGACGCCATGTTGTTAGAAATGAGACGCAGTGAAACGTGTGGAGTTTATTTCAGGTTAAATTAGATCTCAAACGTTTATTAAACATCCTGACATGTAAGACTGAAAATAATCAAACAGATTTATTATAATTTTACGGAAATGAATACATGTAAAAGTTAAAATAGAACTAAATTATTTCTAATAATTCTATCAAATGAAAGGAATCAAAAGGGCCTTAAAATGATTTGATTTTAAATCAGTTTCTGTTTCTTTACTTAAACATGTAAATTAGTTTTAACTCTGCAACATTCAGGCTGCATTTACTTCCAGATTAGTTTAATTGAGACGCTGGCTGCTGCTGATCAGGTGATTTATGACATCACAGTGAGGTCATCTTCAGGACAGGAAGTCGTCGGGTAACAAACTCCTCCGTTCTTCCTGGTTCTGCTCACAAACTGGATCCAGTCCCTCAGACGCTCCTCCCAGTCCTTGCACCAGTCTGCGCTCCTCTCCAGGTTCTGGTACCGGGTGGGTAACTGGTCCAAAGCCAGTACTGCCTCCGGGGGGTCAAAGGTCAGCCCGGCCTTCTCCACTGCTGCCTGGAACTTCGCTGGAGACGCCGTAGCGACGTAGCATCTGCAGCCGTCAGGAGAAACGAGACCAAACGATTATCTGCAGATTAACTACAGCAGAACCGGACAGAATCGGACAGAACCGGACAGAACCGGGCAGAACCGGGAAGAACCGGACAGAACCGGGAAGAACCGGGAAGAACCGGACAGAACCGGGAAGAACCGGGAACAGTTCTTTAATAGAATAAAATTGAAATAATATATTTAAACAAACTTAAAATAAATGAGAGAAAAACAAATGAAGTTAAATTAAATGTAAGAAATAAAACTGGAAAATAAAGTCAGATAAAATGTTGACCAGTTATTTAAACTATAAAATATTTAATAATATAGAACAAAACAAACAAACTGATTAACTAATACAGCCCCTCCCCGACCTGTTTCTGGTGGTGCTGTGGGTTCGGTTGTAGTGGTGCCAGACGGCCACGGCCGTGTGGGGACACAGCAGGTACCGGTTCTGGTCCCAGCACCGCCTCATGGTCTCCAGGATCCCCGGTCGCTCACGGCGCCGCTCACCAGAACCTCGGCCAGCTGGGAGAACCACAGAGGAGACGGTTACTGCGGCCGGCGGTCCGGTCCGCCTCGCGGTTCTGGAGAGGACGGTACCAGTCTGCGCTGGTTCTCTGGCAGTCTGAGTCGATGGGAACGCTGGAACTCCTCCATCATGGTTTTCACGGCGGCGCCGTCCCGGTCCAGCAGCAGCCAGAAGACCCGCTCCATGTTGTACGGGTCCTGAAGAACAGAACCAGAACCAAGATGGCTTCCGTTACATTTTATTGATAAATGCAGATTAGAACAAAACAAACAGAAAATCTGTTTAAATCTGTTAATTTAACATTTAATTCTCTGAAAGCAAGAAACAACATGAAACCAACATGTTTATTAAAATAAGACAAATTCAACAATAGCAAAAAGATGAAAGTATTTTCACAATAAATGAATAAATGAAATGATTAAAGACGATAAATAATTCATGATGAAATATAATTTATGTTTCAGGTGAAAAGTTTCTTCCTGCTCAGCCTGTGATGGACCCGGTCGGTTCTGGTTCTGGTTCTGGTTCTGGTTCTGGTTCTGGTTCTGTCTACCTGGATGCTATGGCCGGAGCCACAGTCTGGGTGACGCTGGGCGCCATGGAGAAATCGCCGCTGGTTACCGTCCGATGCACGATGTCGTTAGCGTTCACCATGGCAACCAGCTTCAGCGGCAGCCCCATCCTCACGGCGACGAAAGCAGCTGATGGAAAAAGCGACGGCGCCACCAGGGGGCGAGATTTTACTTAAAACAGATTCGGTTAAAACGATAAAGTTCTGAACTCAGATAAAGTGACCCAGTTATTATCAGCTGGTTCAGTCCCAACAATAATCAATAAACAAAACAGGAAATGATCTCAGCTGTGAGAGAAGTTCATCGGACCAGGAGGTTCTGTTGGTTCTGATCCAAACACTCACTAGAGCCGCTCCCTAGTGAACCCACCTGCAATGTTCCCGGCTCCTCCGGTCGGAACCCACCACCTCCAGCTCCGGCAGCGCTGCAGGCTCGGATCCAGGCTCCGCCCCTTGCCCAGGCTCCGCCCCCATGTCAGGCTCCGCCCCCAGCCCAGGCTCCGCCCCCAGCCCAGGCTCCGCCCCCAGGCCGCTCAGCTCCAGGTAGGCGTAGAAGAAGTGCGCCACCTGGATCATGACTCTGGACCAGTTGACAGAGTTGAGGCTCATCAGGCTGTGGGTCCGGACCAGGTTCTGGTCGGCGAACAGGCGGCGGAGCGGCTGGTCGATGTCGTCTGAGCTGCCGTCAGCTGCAGCAGAACCGGGCCGTGTCAGAACCGGGCCGGGTCAGACGGTCCCGGGTCAGAACCGGTCAGAACCGGGCCTACCTGCGAACACGTGGACGTTGTCCTCCAGGCAGGTGGTCATGTGTTTCTCCTGGACCGCCGTGATCCGACCCCGAGGGAAAACCACCAGAACATCCAGACCCGGCAGAGACCGGGCGCTGCGGACGGCCGAGCCGCCGGTGTCTCCTGATGTTCCTAACGGCAGAACCGGGTCAGAGGTCATGATCACAGAACTGGGTCAGAGGTCAGAGGTCATGTCTCAGGGATGTTTCTTACCAACCAGGACGACGGCTCGGCTGCCGTCTTTCCGCAGGAAGTAGTCGAGGAAGTGGACGGTGCAGCTCATGGCCAGATCTTTGAACGCCAAAGTTTCTCCGTGGAAAAGTTCCAGAACCGACAAACCGTCCTTCAGCTGGACGATCCGGACCGAGTCGGGAACCGAGAACCCAGAGAGAGCTTCAGCGACCAGGCCTGGAGGCAGAACATGACTCATTCATCCTGAGAGAACCGGTCCGAACCGGTCCGGTCCGGTCCGGTCTGGTCTGATCCAGACCAGACCAGACCAGACCAGGTCAGTCCGGTCCAGTCCAGTTTCATCTTTAACTTGTTTCTGCTTTTGCTCCTTTGGCCTCAACAATCTTAAGAAAATCTACAAACCACTGAAATTTTTAACTTTGGGGAAAAATCAACCTGAACTTTAAACTTTGTAAAAGATTCCAGATAAAAACAGATTTAAACCACAACAGCCTCCACCATCCCTCTGAAAGTGCTGCTGTGTTGGTGCTGCTGTTGGTGCTGTTGGTGCTGTGTTGGTGCTGTTGGTGCTGCTCACCCTCCAGGTCGTCTCTGGGGATCAACTCCTCTGGGATGAACTGGGCTGCGACCTCCAGAACCAGCTGGCGGTACCGCAGCCCCTTCCAGCTCCGCAGCGTCTCTGGACTCACAGTGGGCAGCGTCTCCGGCATGAACATCCCTCCATCCGGAGCGAATCCGGAGAACAGAACCTCCCTGAAGTCCCGGTTCTGGACCCCGCCCCGGGTGCTGCAGTACCGCATCCTGTAGAACCAGGTTCTGCTACAGGAAGAGAACCGGGCCGATCAGAACCCTAAAAACTCCATGTGCTAATGGACAAACAAACCCAAAAACCAATGAAGTGGAACCACTGAAAATACAGGAGAAATATTAATTTATGTTAAATTTATACATTTTATTTTTAAATGATCTTAAGCAGCAGCAGCTGATCTATTGATCATGGAAGATTATATAATATGTTCAATTATTAATTATTTATATTTAAATTCTCAGCTGATCTGTGACACATTATTGATCCAACAGCTAAAACTATCATGTTTTACTTTTCAGCAGCAGAAATCAATAATCAATAATCAATAACTCCCACATTATTTCTATTATTGTCTTCTGAAAGGAACAAGAACATTATGATCAATAATTAACAATTTATTAGTAACAAAATCATATTTATGTCAGGATCAACAGAAAATTCAGAGGAACAACAACAAACTGCAGCTCAGAACCAACCAGACCGACCCAACAGAACCAACCAGACCGACCCAACAGAACCAACCAGACCGACCCAACAGAACCAACCAGACCGGCCCAACAGAACCAACCAGACCGGCCCAACAGAACCAACCAGACCGACCCAACAGAACCAACCTGACCGACCCAGTAGAACCTTCTGTTCGGCCCAACAGAATCAACCAGACCGGCCCAGTAGAACCTTCTGCTCGGCCCAGTAGAACCAACCTGACCGGCCCAGTAGAACCTTCTGCTCGGCCCAGTAGAACCCGTCTCCAGACGGACCTCAGGTATTTTCTGCTCTGCTGTGATCCAACCCGGCGACTCGCTGAGCAGAACCTTTGAGACCATAAAGTTGGACTTTGATCGGTTCCGACGTTAACGGACCGACTGGGAAACAAAGTTTCTTTTTGTTCTGATCTGGTGGTTCTGTTGGGTCCAGATCCAGTTGAATCATCTGAGTTCTCTGTCTATATCTGACTTTATTAAATGAAATAAAGGTGCTGCTGCTGCTGATAACTGATCCTGCAGATCAGGTCAGGATCGATTATTGGATCCATCTGTGGTTCTGAATGATGAACCTGGACATGAGGAGAAAGGATCCAAGATGCAGGAAGGAAAATGAACCTGATCAGCAGTTAAATCACTTATTACATAATAAACTGTTAATATACACAGATCTATAGATGTAGATCTACTGTAGATCATTTTAATCCGTTTATGATCTTTACATTATTAAATAAACCCTGAACATGGCCGCTGATAAATGTTGCATTAAAATAAATCGGTTTATTGTTTGATTATCTGATCAAATTAGTTTATATTTTCTTCATATTTAGTGAAACAGACATGAATTCCGCTGGTTGATGTTTTGCTCCGGCTGCAGCCAGCAGAACCCAGACTGGGTCAGGTTACCGGACCAGAACCAAATGGACCTGTTGATCTTTTCTCAGTAGAACTCCGAACTTTAACCGGTCCGGTCCGCTTGTTTTGGTTCCTTACCTTAGTCTGTCAGCGGTCCACTCCTTCACATTCACCAGGAGGAGACCTGGCTGAATGTCTCCCGCCGGCTGAATGTCTCCCGCCATCTGACACCCTGAGACCCAACAGGCTGAAGATCCAACAGGCTGAGGTCCTGTCAGCCTGTTTGGAGAGGAATTAATGTTTAAAGTTTGCTGCAAGTGGATCATTCTGCTTATCTGTTGACTGAAACGGAGAACAAACCCCACCAACACGGCGAACCGCTTTCCACGCCGGCATGTAAATGGTGCAGAGCCTTAGTGACCACGTGGTATAGACCCGACTTTCTATTGGCCGAAAAAGCAAGTAACAAGTAAAAGCAGACAGAAAGACTCTGGCCAAATAAAATTCATTTCTAAGCGTTAAATGCTAAAATTGCTTTTTTTTTTTTTTTTTCATCAGACAGTAAAGAAACTCATATCTCAGTGGGGACAGTGTTGTTGTTCTCCTTTTTTGCCAGTGCGTCAAAGTCTGGATTTAGTTTCGTTGTGGCGATTCTCAGAATCGATCTGAGGTGTTGGTCAGTTAACCGGATCTGTGACGGGATTTGTTGATGTTCATGTCGCTGAAAGTCTGCGTGTCGAGCCAAACAATACCAGCATCTTCTGTGCCATCCTCCGGACGTTTGGAAATGTGGCTTCGAAGCATAAAAGTCATTCAGTTTAAGAGATCTGAACTTCTCTTTTGAGACAGAGTCAGACTGGAGATCGATCAGCTCCAATTGCACCTCATGCGGTGCTGTTGCGGGGTCTTGTGACAGGGGACAGGACACAAGAGATCTGCTGTCTCTACCATACATTCTTTCAAAAACTCACCTTAAGGAGAAAGGCTTGCTAGCCTTTGCTAACTTGAATGCCAGCAGAAAACTTGCCTTGGTACTTGACTCTTGAATCGCAGATTGTTGCAGAGTCTGTAAATTAGCTGCCAACCTCTAGCAGCCGTTCTTGTGTTGACAGCTTGTAGCATAGTTAGCATGCTTTGTGGCAAAGTGACGACTGATAATAAAAAACTGCAACTGTTTCTTGGCATATCAGACATACAGCCGTTGATCGGACATCAGTATCATGTCTAGACACATGACGAGACACGTCTAACCAAACGTCTAGTTTGGAAACTATCACTAAACTAACTAAAAACTTTCAAGTGAGTAATCAAACACTTCTTCTTACACAGTAGTATAAAATGACAGTATTAGAATGATGAACAGCTTTCACAACATAAAAATAAAATATTTTTATCTTTATATCTGTCAGGAGATCTGAAACTGAAGTATAAATTATAATCTATAAAGCATAAAATCTCTTAGTTCTTCATTGTCTTTTGCTCATGCAACAACTAATACTAACTTTAGTGACCTCTGATTGGCGTAACTGGGTGTGGTTACCTGAATGAACAACTATCTTCCTATATTTACAGTCATCCTCAGTCAGCAGTTTCTGGTACAATTTGATGTCTGGCCCTGGAAAATGTTTGACTACGGTTACTGGTGTCTCTAGTGCCACGTTTCTGACTGTGGAACTGCCTATTAGTAAAGTTTCTCAAAGAGAGAATTGGAACAGGTTCTTTAAAACTTGTTAAAGCATTGTATGATAACTGTGATCAATAATCAATAATGGTAGGGAAACGTTGCTCTATAAACTGCAAACTCAAACTTGTGCTGTTAATTGTTTTAGCAAAACAAACTGGATTATTTCCATCTGCTCTTTCTCCACATTCACTGATTCAATCTGTATTTCTACTGCAGCTGAAACTATAAAGATGTGTTTATGACTTATATGTGTATTCAGAAGACATAAATCTATCCCACTGTAATATTTTTTAAACTATAAGTCTCATTTTAAAACAAGCACTGAACATCTTTATTGCTATTACAGAAACTATCCATCCATTGTCTCCAAATGTGATGCAGTGAGTCCAGGACCTCCTGCTGTTTACCAGCTGATACCAAAGAAAGAGATGATAGGAACACTGAGCAGACTGACTGTTGGTGAAAAACAAGAGACCAAACCAAATAAAACCATCTTACTGGTTGGTGAAACAGGAGCAGGAAAATCTACTCTGGTTAACGCTCTGTTCAACTTCGCTGTGGGAGTCAAGTTTGACGATGAAGTTTGGTTTCAGTTAGTTGATGAGAACAAGGACAGGAGAGACACAGGAAGTCAGACATCAGATGTGATCGTCTATCAGATCTTTGGGTTTGAGAATCAAACTCTGCCGTTCTCTCTGACCATCATCGATACTCCTGGATATGGAGACACACATGATGCCAATCATAATATCAGATCAATCAGATATTAATGGAGTTATTCCAATCAGCTGGTGGAACCAGGAGTTCATGCAGTTGGTCTGGTGATGAAGGACAGAGAGAATCCAGTCAGTGACCAACTGAAGTACATCTATGGTTTCATCGAGTCCCAGTTTGGAAAAGATGTGGAGAAAACATCGTACTCTGATGACAAACTCACGGGAGAAGAACCTACTGATATTCTTGAAGCTATGGAAGATGCAAATATTAAATGTGCCAAAAATGAAGAGAATGAAATTATTTACTTTCAGTTTGATAACCGTCAGGATAAAAAGCAAACAATAAAATCTAAATTATCTCTAGAAAATGCTTGGAGAGTAACAGAAAGAGGAATTAATGAGTTCCTAGCCTTTCTAGAAAACTCTCCAGCTCTCCAGCAGAAAGTCATGATGGAAGTTCAGCAAGAACGGATCAGACTGACAGCCTGCACCCAGAACCTGCAGGAGAGAATCAGGTTCACCGAGTTAAAACTCAGAGACGTGGAACGAACTCAAGAGGCTCTTTCTCATAACAAACAGATCAAAAAGTCTAAAAATTATAATGTACGTATTCCTCAGACAGAGAAAAACATGCAGGCTCTAAGAGATGGAAGATGTGGTTCAGACACAGCGGTGATCTGTTTGGGTTGTAAGGAGAACTGTCACTATCCTGGATGCACAAAGGCTTTAAATGCTCAACAATGTGAAGTGATGATAAATGGAAGATGTACTTCATGCACCAACAAGTGTCCTGCATCAAAACACGATAAAAAAACAGTCAATTTGTGATCAGGACCCAGATGGTTGAGAAGAATAAAGAAGCCCTGAAACAACAATATAAACAGGAAGCAGGACAGAAGAAGGTGGAGCTTTCAGAAAGACTTGAAATGGAGAAAACTAAGCTGAGGGCAGAGAAGAAACTATTAGTAAATGAAGCATGTAGAAATTTGATCAAACATTCTGTGTTAGTTAAGATTGATGATTCAATTGATGATTCAGTTTCCACTTATGTCATGTTGGACTTCCTTATCAAGAAGATGAAAGGACAAGGAGATGAAGCAAAGGAACTGGAGGAAATATTCAACCAAATGGATCAGGGAACCAGAACATCACAAGAACTCAGGTAGGAACTTTCAACATGTCACTTCATGTTATGTTCAGCTGTTCAACGCCTCTAGATTTTATGACTGTGGCTCAGTGAGTAGAGTAGTAGTAGAAGGTTGCATGGGTGATTCCAGATTCCTCCTGCCACATGTCGCTGTGCCCTTGGGCAAGGCGCTTAATCCCAAATTGCCTAGCGATCTGCGTCCTGGTGTATAAATATGTGTCTGTTTGTGAGTGCAAATGGGGAACGTGACTCTGAAGTGCTTTAAGTGTCACAGTGATTGTAAGAGTGCTCTATTAGTTCAGTCCATTTACAGCTCAGGATCATTTTATGCTAAAATGTTCAACATCTCTCCCTGTCAGTCTTCATTGTCACAAACAAAATTCTATCATTGTATTGGGTTTGGGTTCGATAAGCTTTGCATAAGCGAGGAAGATACAAGCCAGTTCATTGAACCAAACCAAACAATGGGGTCATGGGAAGAATCAGTACAATACAATGACATGCCTGCAAGATCATAACTATAATAAATGCTGAACAGAAGATCCAAAATTCAAGGAGGATGCATGAGGCAGGCAGCTGAAAGTCAGAGATTACTCAATAAATAAATAAGTTGGTTTGGAAACCAGGGGAGTGTATCTAGGAGGGTGAACCCTGACCCCCACACACACACACAGATGACTTCTAGAGGGGACCTCTAAAAGAGGGCAATAACAACAACATAAATCTGCTGGGAGTCAAGGGTGGAACAAATAAGGTTTATTTGGCTAACAGTCCATATTGACCCTGTTAGAAATTGGGGCACCTTTACTGAACCTCATTACTTTTAGGGTATTTCTGCAAGAAAAACAGAAATACCCTGTTTTCTAAAGCTCATTTAATTCAATCTACGTTTTACCCATAGAGCACCACATAACACCTTTTATCACATCATAAACATGAACTGAATATAATATATCACTATGTTAAATTTGTTTTGGATGATTCATCGCATTATCAATACATTAATAAAATAATTTGCAATGCATTTTGCTTGCATTTTAATGAATAAAAGTTGGTCCTGTTTTTCTGCAGAATGGCAATCACCTCATCTAATCGGAAAGCTTTAATCTCAGAAAGTGTTCAGATCCATAAAGGACCCCCTGCTGTTTACCAGCTGATACCAAAGAAAGATGATAGGAACTCTGAGCAGACTGACTGTTGGACAGAAAGATGAGATGAAGATCAATAAAACCATCTTACTGGTTGGTGAAACAGGAGCAGGAAAATCTACTCTGGTTAACGCTCTGTTCAACTACGCTGTGGGAGTCAAGTTTGAGGATAATGTCTGGTTTCAGATTGTAGAGGAGGAGAAGAGAAGCCAAACAGAAAGTCAGACATCAGATGTGATCGTCTATCAGATCTTTGGGTTTGAAGGTCAGACTCTGCCGTTCTCTCTGACCATCATTGATACTCCTGGATATGGAAGCACCGGAGGGATTGGAGAAGACAACGCTGTCAGTCGAAGATTGTTGGACTTGTTTCGATCAGAAGATGGAGTTCATCAGATCAATGCAGTGGGTCTGGTAATGAAGGCCAGTGATAACAGACTGAGTGACCGACTGAGATACATCTTTGATTCAGTGACGTCTCTGTTTGGAAAAGATCTGGAGAGAAACATTGTAGCTCTGATGACTCACTCTGATGGAAGACCACCTGAAAATGCTCTCCAGGCTCTGGAAGCTGCAAAGATTAAATGTTCCAGAGATGAGATGAATCAGCCTTCTCACTTCATGTTTAATAACCAGCAGAAGACACAGAGACACACAGAGAGAGTTAAACCTGGTGATAAATACGACTGGCACTTTACAAATGAAGAAATGGGTCGTTTGAGAGACTTTCTGAAAAACACCGAACCTCAACCACTGATAATAACAGTGGAGGTTCTGAATGAACGGATTAGACTGACGGGCTGCATC